GGGTCTAAAATATATTAGAAGCTCAGAAAATGTTTTTGGATGAGTGAACTATGTAGCTGTAGTCAGGGATCTCTAGAGAAACAGAATGAATAGGGGGGAGAGAGAGAGAGAGAGAGAAAGAGAGAGAGAGAGGCATTTATCACATGGAATTGGTTCACAAAATTGTGGGATTTGACATGTCCCAAGACCTGCAGGGTGAGTGGAGACCCAGGAAAGCCAATGGTGTAGTTCCAAGCTTGAGAACCAGGAAAAGTGGAAGCTTCAGTTGGAGGCAAGAAAAAGCCATGTCCTAGTTCAAAAGCAGTCAGGCAAGAGGAATTCTCTTGCTCGGGGAAGAGTTAGCCTTTTTGTTCTATCCAGGCCTTCAACTGATTGGATAAGTTCCACCCACATCTGCTTTACCGGGTCTACTGATTAAAATGCTAATCTTATCCAAAAACACCTTCACAGACACAACCAAAAAAATGTTTGACCAAATATCTAGGCACCCCATGACCCAGTCAAGTTAACACATAACATTAACCAGCACAAACTTATAAATATTTAAATCCTCCAAATAAAGGCAACAAGATAAGGCAATAAAACCTTAGTGTGAATGAGCCAAGGGTCTTTCTCCTTGACCCTAGGTGAGCTACGGACTCAGGGTTAACAGAAAGAGGAAGGATACAGAACTCAAATAGCCCGTATCATTAATAAGATTTTGGTTAAATGGTAAGGTTAAACAACCTTGTCCCCAAATGGACTTTCTGTCCTCAAAATTCCTAAGGCATATTTAAATTTTTGGAACTCCTGCTTTAGTCTTTGTCACTGCCATTCCACGAGAGGAAAGTACTCATTGCCCTTAGTGAGCCATTTGGTTTTAAAGCCCTTTTCAAAATGAAGGCAGAAACAGAAATTGCCTCTTGGCAGTCATTCCAGGGTCCACCCTTCTGTCTGTACAAAGAGTCTTGAATCACTTACATACCAGAGAAACTTTGGATTTAATAATTAAAAAAGAAAGTTGAAAATAGGTAGCTTGAATTGTTTATACTTAGTTGGTTGATTGCTTCCAGGCTCGTCTTAATTCTATGAAGAACAAAATACCTCTGCCTCAAATCTCATATAAAAAAAATGATGCACTATTCCCATTCCTTTTCTATTTACTAGCATTTAAAAGAGCTCCATAAGCAAGATAGGAGGAGGGGAGGAGGGGAGGAGGACAGAAGCTCTGCCACATGCCTTGGTGTCTTCCTGGAGAGGAAGGAAAAGCAGTAGTGCTATCTCGTCTATTCAGCGAATGCTTTGGCCCTGAGGTCACTCTCCCTCACATCCATGTGACCAGCTAAACTCCACCCGAAACTGAGAAAAAGAAAATAAATACCATTTAAGATGAGCTGAATACAGAACCTGAACTGTGGCCTTAAACTTGCTGGGGAATGCCAGGTCATGTAGAGACTGGTGTACATGTGCTATGGTTCAAAGTTCTGCCCAAGACAAGCAAGGAACGTGTTCAAGGAGGCCTTACACGAGAGGACGCCGGAGAAATCACGTTGTGAGATGAGGAGAAAACAGAATAAAAGGAGGACCAGTATGTCTCTTTGGGAACACCTGACTTCAGGACCATACATATCTTCACTGCCCAACATTCTAGGACCATGTCAGATTTAAGATGTCTAGAAATAATAAATGCTGGAGGAACCCTCAAACACAGCTGGTGGAAATGTAAATTGGTGTAGCCACTATAGAGGATAGTATGGAGGTTCCTTAAAAAACTAAAAATAAACTTACCACATGAAACTGCAATCCCACTCCTGGGCATATATCCAGATGGAACTCTAATTCAAAAGAACCTACACCCCAG